AGGCAGAACGAAAGAATTGAAATCTGTTATTCACAATGGAGCAGCAGAAAGACGATGAATTTACTTTCACGTGGATTATTCAAAACTTCAGCATGTGCCATGATATAAAAGGAGAATGCATTGCTAGTCCCTCATTTGCTTTGAATTCCTTACCCGGCATGAAATGGCACATAGAACTGTACCCGAAAGACAGTTACGGAGAAGATCAGAAAGCCTTCCACCTCACGCGAGGAGACGACTTCCCAGAAAAGTGTACTATAAAATGCAGTCTTGCGGTACTAGATGACAGCGAAAGTTATTTGTAAATTCAGCAAATGAAATAATTTATGAAATGGCACATAGAACTGTACCCGAAAGACAGTTACGGAGAGATCAGAAAGCCTTCCACCTCACGCGAGGAGACGACTTCCCAGAAAAGTGTACTATAAAATGCAGTCTTGCGGTACTAGATGACAGCGAAAAGTTAATTTGTAAATTCAGCAAATGAAATAAGTTTTATGAAATGGCACATAGAACTGTACCCGAAAGACAGTTACGGAGAAGATCAGAAAGCCTTCCACCTCACGCGAGGAGACGACTTCCCAGAAAAGTGTACTATAAAATCAGTCTTGCGGTACTAGATGACAGCGAAAAGTTAATTTGTAAATTCAGCAAATGAAATAAGTTTATGAATGGCACATAGAACTGTACCCGAAAGACAGTTACGGAGAAGATCAGAAAGCCTTCCACCTCACGCGAGGAGACGACTTCCCAAAAAGTGTACTATAAAATGCAGTCTTGCGGTACTAGATGACAGCGAAAAGTTAATTTGTAAATTCAGCAAATGAAATAAGTTTATGAAATGGCACATAGAACTGTACCCGAAAGACAGTTACGGAGAAGATCAGAAAGCTTCCACCTCACGCGAGGAGACGACTTCCCAGAAAAGTGTACTATAAAATGCGTCTTGCGGTACTAGATGACAGCGAAAAGTTAATTTGTAAATTCAGCAATGAAATAAGTTTTATGAAATGGCACAGAAACTGTACCCGAAAGACAGTTACTGAGAGATCAGAAGCCTCACCTCACGCGAGAGACGACTTCCCATAAAGTGTACTATAAATGCAGTCTTGCGGTACTAGATGACAGCGAAAAGTTAATTTGTAAATTCAAGCAATGAAATAAGTTTATGAAATGGCACATAGAACTGTACCCGAAAGACAGTTACGGAGAAGATCAGAAAGCCTTCCACCTCACGCGAGGAGACGACTTCCCAGAAAAGTGTACTATAAAATGCAGTCTTGCGGTACTAGATGACAGCGAAAAGTTAATTTGTAAATTCAGCAAATGAAATAAGTTTATGAAATGGGCACATAGAACTGTACCCGAAGACAGTTACGGAGAAGATCAGAAAGCCTTCCACCTCACGCGAGGAGACGACTTCCCAGAAAAGTGTACTATAAAATGCAGTCTTGCGGTACTAGATGACAGCGAAAAGTTAATTTGTAAATTCAGCAAATGAAATAAGTTTATGAAATGGCACATAGAACTGTACCCGAAAGACAGTTACGGAGAAGATCAGAAAGCCTTCCACCTCACGCGAGGAGAGACGACTTCCCAAAAGTGTACTATAAATGCAGTCTTGCGGTACTAGATGACAGCGAAAAGTTAATTTGTAATTCAGCAAATGAAATAAGTTTATGAAATGGCACATAGAACTGTACCCGAAAGACAGTTACGGAGAAGATCAGAAAGCCTTCCACCTCACGCGAGGAGACGACTTCCCAGAAAAGTGTACTATAAAATGCAGTCTTGCGGTACTAGATGACAGCGAAAAGTTAATTTGTAAATTCAGCAAATGAAATAAGTTTATGAAATGGCACATAGAACTGTACCCGAAAGACAGTTACGGAGAAGATCAGAAAGCCTTCCACCTCACGCGAGGAGACGACTTCCCAGAAAAGTGTACTATAAAATGCAGTCTTGCGGTACTAGATGACAGCGAAAAGTTAATTTGTAAATTCAGCAAATGAAATAAGTTTATGAAATGGCACATAGAACTGTACCCGAAAGACAGTTACGGAGAAGATCAGAAAGCCTTCCACCGCTCACGCGAGGAGACGACTTCCCAGAAAAAAGTGTACTATAAAATGCAGTCTTGCGGTACTAGATGACAGCGAAAAGTTAATTTGTAAATTCAGCAAATGAAATAAGTTTATGAAATGGCACATAGAACTGTACCGAAAGACAGTTACGGAGAAGATCAGAAAGCCTTCCACCTCACGCGAGGAGACGACTTCCCAGAAAAGTGTACTATAAATGCAGTCTTGCGGTACTAGATGACAGCGAAAAGTTAATTTGTAAATTCAGCAAATGAAATAAGTTTATGAAATGGCACATAGAACTGTACCCGAAAGACAGTTACGGAGAAGATCAGAAAGCCTTCCACCTCACGCGAGGAGACGACTTCCCAGAAAAGTGTACTATAAAATGCAGTCTTGCGGTACTAGATGACAGCGAAAAGTTAATTTGTAAATTCAGCAAATGAAATAAGTTTATGAAATGGCACATAGAACTGTACCCGAAAGACAGTTACGGAGAAGATCAGAAAGCCTTCCACCTCACGCGAGGAGACGACTTCCCAGAAAAGTGTACTATAAAATGCAGTCTTGCGGTACTAGATGACAGCGAAAAGTTAATTTGTAAATTCAGCAAATGAAATAAGTTTATGAAATGGCACATAGAACTGTACCCGAAAGCCAGTTACGGAGAAGATCAGAAAGCCTTCCACCTCACGCGAGGAGACGACTTCCCAGAAAAGTGTACTATAAAATGCAGTCTTGCGGTACTAGATGACAGCGAAAAGTTAATTTGTAAATTCAGCAAATGAAATAAGTTTATGAAATGGCACATAGAGAACTGTACCCGAAAGACAGTTACGGAGAAGATCAGAAAGCCTTCCACCTCACGCGAGGAGACGACTTCCCAGAAAAGTGTACTATAAAATGCAGTCTTGCGGTACTAGATGACAGCGAAAAGTTAATTTGTAAATTCAGCAAATGAAATAAGTTTATGAAATGGCACATAGAACTGTACCCGAAAGACAGTTACGGAGAAGATCAGAAAGCCTTCCACCTCACGCGAGGAGACGACTTCCCAGAAAAGTGTACTATAAAATGCAGTCTTGCGGTACTAGATGACAGCGAAAAGTTAATTTGTAAATTCAGCAAATGAAATAAGTTTATGAAATGGCACATAGAACTGTACCCGAAAGACAGTTACGGAGAAGATCAGAAAGCCTTCCACCTCACGCGAGGAGACGACTTCCCAGAAAAGTGTACTATAAAATGCAGTCTTGCGGTACTAGATGACAGCGAAAAGTTAATTTGTAAATTCAGCAAATGAAATAAGTTTATGAAATGGCACATAGAACTGTACCCGAAAGACAGTTACGGAGAAGATCAGAAAGCCTTCCACCTCACGCGAGGAGACGACTTCCCAGAAAAGTGTACTATAAAATGCAGTCTTGCGGTACTAGATGACAGCGAAAAGTTAATTTGTAAATTCAGCAAATGAAATAAGTTTATGAAATGGCACATAGAACTGTACCCGAAAGACAGTTACGGACGGAGAAGATCAGAAAGCCTTCCACCTCACGCGAGGAGACGACTTCCCAGAAAAAGTGTACTATAAAATGCAGTCTTGCGGTACTAGATGACAGCGAAAAGTTAATTTGTAAATTCAGCAAATGAAATAAGTTTATGAAATGGCACATAGAACTGTACCCGAAAGACAGTTACGGAGAAGATCAGAAAGCCTTCCACCTCACGCGAGGAGACGACTTCCCAGAAAAGTGTACTATAAAATGCAGTCTTGCGGTACTAGATGACAGCGAAAAGTTAATTTGTAAATTCAGCAAATGAAATAAGTTTATGAAATGGCACATAGAACTGTACCCGAAAGACAGTTACGGAGAAGATCAGAAAGCCTTCCACCTCACGCGAGGAGACGACTTCCCAGAAAAGTGTACTATAAAATGCAGTCTTGCGGTACTAGATGACAGCGAAAAGTTAATTTGTAAATTCAGCAAATGAAATAAGTTTATGAAATGGCACATAGAACTGTACCCGAAAGACAGTTACGGAGAAGATCAGAAAGCCTTCCACCTCACGCGAGGAGACGACTTCCCAGAAAAGTGTACTATAAAATGCAGTCTTGCGGTACTAGATGACAGCGAAAAGTTAATTTGTAAATTCAGCAAATGAAATAAGTTTATGAAATGGCACATAGAAACTGTACCCGAAAGACAGTTACGGAGAAGATCAGAAAGCCTTCCACCTCACGCGAGGAGACGACTTCCCAAAAAGTGTTACTATAAAATGCAGTCTTGCGGTACTAGATGACAGCGAAAAGTTAATTTGTAAATTCAGCAAAGAAATAAGTTTATGAAATGGCACATAGAACTGTACCCGAAAAGACAGTTACGGAGAAGATCAGAAAGCCTTCCACCTCACGCGAGGAGACGACTTCCCAGAAAAGTGTACTATAAAATGCAGTCTTGCGGTACTAGATGACAGCGAAAAGTTAATTTGTAAATTCAGCAAATGAAATAAGTTTATGAAATGGCACATAGAACTGTACCCGAAAGACAGTTACGGAGAAGATCAGAAAGCCTTCCACCTCACGCGAGGAGACGACTTCCCAGAAAAGTGTACTATAAAATGCAGTCTTGCGGTACTAGATGACAGCGAAAAGTTAATTTGTAAATTCAGCAAATGAAATAAGTTATGAAATGGCACATAGAACTGTACCCGAAAGACAGTTACGGAGAAGATCAGAAAGCCTTCCACCTCACACGCGAGGAGACGACTTCCCAGAAAAGTGTACTATAAAATGCAGTCTTGCGGTACTAGATGACAGCGAAAAGTTAATTTGTAAATTCAGCAAATGAAAATAAGTTTATGAAATGGCACATAGAACTGTACCCGAAAGACAGTTTTACGGAGAAGATCAGAAAGCCTTCCACCTCACGCGAGGAGACGACTTCCCAGAAAAGTGTACTATAAAATGCAGTCTTGCGGTACTAGATGACAGCGAAAAGTTAATTTGTAAATTCAGCAAATGAAATAAGTTTATGAAATGGCACATAGAACTGTACCCGAAAGACAGTTACGGAGAAGATCAGAAAGCCTTCCACCTCACGCGAGGAGACGACTTCCCAGAAAAGTGTACTATAAAATGCAGTCTTGCGGTACTAGATGACAGCGAAAAGTTAATTTGTAAATTCAGCAAATGAAATAAGTTTATGAAATGGCACATAGAACTGTACCCGAAAGACAGTTACGGAGAAGATCAGAAAGCCTTCCACCTCACGCGAGGAGACGACTTCCCAGAAAAGTGTACTATAAAATGCAGTCTTGCGGTACTAGATGACAGCGAAAAGTTAATTTGTAAATTTAGCAATATAACTAAGGTTTTCACAAATAAAAATGGTCGTGGATATTTTAGATGTTTTGCAAAGCATTCTTTTTTCCAGTCGCTAAAAAACGATGTTCTGATCATGGAATACACTTTGAAGCCTATTTCTGAGTCAAGCCAACAAGAGATACTGCCTCCATTTCCTTACAAAAGTGGGCTCTTCACGGACACAGTCCTGCGTACCAGCAACGAGTCATTCAATGTGCATAAAGCTATTTTATGGGCGAGGTGTCCCAAGCTGGCAGAAAGCCTCGATGGAGATGAACCTTGTGAGCAGGCTTTGGATGTCAGATCGGATGTGTTGGAGACTATCATCAAATATGTTTACACCGGCGAAATAGATTTTAAGGGATCTGAGCTGTTGCCAAAAGTGTACGCTGCTGCTGTAAAATACGAGCTTCTCAGTCTGAGTTCTCTGCCAGTTATGACGAAGAAGGCCCGAACTCGCATTAATACAGAGAAAATATCCTTTGACTGGCCGATAGAAAATGTTCACAGCTTGCCCGTTAATTCCGTGTTACACAGTCACGTTTTCACGGTCCACGTTTTGCCATCTTGCGGATGGAATTTAATCTTTCAAATGCGCGAAGTATCTGATCTTAATCTACTTTTCACTGTGTCCATTTACAAAGTATACGGCAATAAACCGAAGACGGCTTTCGTGCGAAGCAAAATATCCTTCGTCGAGAATGGTGAAAATTATTCCTCCTTTGAAATAAATGAACACTTATTTGAAAGAGATGAAAAGTGGCAATGTGTAGAGCTTTCACTAAGTCGTATCTCACATCGCGAAGATGTACTACTACTCAAGTGTGAATTTAAATTTTCTATTCGTCATTACTCTTCTGAGATTCTGGAATCTTCGTGTGGTTTCCCCTCTTCTATAAAATGCCATTATTTCAAGGATGACCTAAGAAATCTTTTTAAGAGTGGAAAGAAAGCGGATTTAAATATAATAGTCGGTTCGAAAACCTTCTTAGCTCATAAATTTATTCTCTGCGCTCGATCTTCAGTATTTTCTAGAATGTTCGAAACAGAAATGATTGAATCGAAAAACGGCACCCTTACGATTTCTGATGCGGATCCCGATATAATTGCTGAAATGTTACTGTTTATGTATTGCGGTTGCTTGGAAAAACCTTTGGAGGAAACTGCTATGCGTCTGTACACAGCGGCTGATAAATACGATGTTTCGTATCTCAAGAAGAAGTGCTCTTCTTTTCTGAAGGAAAATCTTTCCCGTGAAAATGTGTGTAAAGTACTCCGGTTAGCCGATTTGCATTCAGATGAGGACTTGCACGAAAGTGCATTAGCTTATTTTGTTGACAATGCCACGAACGTTTTCTCAACTAGTGAATGGCAAGAAGTCGCAAAAGATAGTTTCTGGGTTAAACTTTTGGAAAATGTGATTGCTCATAAAATCTCTGCAAAATAATTCGTTTAAAATGTGATTAAAGATCATAGTTTTGAAGACACTTTTAAGAAATTGTATTTCTTAATTATTGATGATATCAAAATTATCTTCTCCATTTCGAATATATATTATCAGCAATGAAATTAAATTTTCGTTTGGTAAGTATTAAACCATAATATACAAACTAAACTATTATCGTCTTACTGTTATTTATGGTTATGTAAAAAATAAATAGTGTTATTAAGTTTTTAAAAAAATATTCCAAAATATGATTTACTCTTATAACTTTCCAATAGATTTTGTATTTGTTAATCTATTATTACTTTTATCTCTAGAATTTTAACGCGATTCTTTAGTTTTTTTCGTAGTGAATATTAAACTATAATTTCCGTTGTAGATTTGAACATGATGCTGTTAAAACTTCGTTTATGAATTTAGACTGCATGCCCGATTTTTCAAGTTTTTAGCCTCGAGGGACGTCACCCAGAAGGGCTATCAGTCTCGAAACGACATTTTGCGTCGAAGTTTGCACTTTAAATGGCAGTATCAGGTTTCATATTGTTACCAACAAATATTATCGCCCCGAATTACATTTTAAGAAATTAAATAATGAAGAATCTTAATTAATGTACGTATGATTCTCGCATTGTGAAAAAGCAACGGTATTTTAGAGCCATGAAATTTTGAATAACGTAGTCGTCCACCCAAACATGAGCACTTGGAAGCCCGAATCTTGAATTTCGAAATTCTTTTATTATCTAATTCATATTTTTTAAACTTTAACCAATGTTTGTTTAAGAAACTTAAAGAATTGAAAACGAGCAGTCGCAACACACTGCTCGCTTTGAATTTTTTGAGAATATAATAAATGATAATAATGATAAAGAATAAATATTTTTATCTCTATAAAATAATAATATAATAAAATATTTTTATCTCCAGCGCGAGAGATTGTCTATCAGAATCTCTAAAGATATGCTGTTTTTTAATATTTTTTAGCCCAAAGGAAAATTAGCCCAAATGCTCTGGAACCGTGTATGTATGTGTAAATGGAAAAAAAAAGTCTTTTTGGAAGTAATAAGAAATCTGAAAGCTTTCGGATTTTTTTTCATTTTTAATATTTACAATCTAAATAATCGATTCCAAATGCAGTTCTATTGTTAGTTCTGCATAATACATTACGTTTTAATGGATGCAATGATTTGTTTATGTTTTCTGGGAATTTCGAAAATTATTAGTAAATATACAGCTGATTGTACACCTTGCCTAGCTGAGTGTCTCTACACCTTCGACAGTTCTATATCTCCCGTTCTACTGGACCGATTATCGAAATTTAACATTTCTCGAAAGCGCGACTCAGAATATTTAAAATATATTCCAAGTCGGTATATTCTATATGTATTCCCTCTATTATATATAGACAGAGAAAGAATTCTTTTAACATAGTTTGACAGAAATCGGACACTTTCTGAAATAACGTACCAATTAAGACACAATAATACGCCGAACAAATACTAATTCAGAAGTCAAACAACAAAAGTCAGCGTTATGTTTTCAAAATTTTCACAGGACTAGTTTCGATGGTTTTACATCGCAAATGAACAAGATAGGAAATAATGATTAGATAAGATAAGAAAGCCTGGACAAGAATAAGCAAGTTTCGCCATCTGTTGATGAAACCAGAACTAAAACATAATTTCTTTAAATGCCGAAGGCAAAGATGGATTGGAATTAGGACCGTTAACTAGAGCAGAAAGATTTTTTTGAATGTGAAATACTTCTAGAAAATCCAGTTCCCCAATGGAAGATGTTTTTTGAATAATTTTGGCAGCAGAAAAATTGAAAGTGTGATTTTCGGACCAACAATGTTGAGCAACAGAAGAATTCTGCGTTTCCTTTTTCCTAACATATGCCTCATGTTCCTTGACGCGAAATTTTAAGGCTCTCTTCGTTTGGCCAATGTAAGTTAAAACACACTGGCAAGGAATCCTATAAATACCCCAGGAATTCATATCCGGAATGGGGTCCTTGAGTATGGAACAAGGAATTTTATTGATGGGAGAATAAACGACCCGGAAGTTAAATTTCTGCAAAATATGTGCAACTTTATAGCTAATTGATGGAAAGAAGGGAATGACAACAGAATTTTCATAATCTAAAACAAGAGTGTGCCTTTTAGTGTGTTGAGATGAGAATTTTTTAACTGCTTGATTAACAATGTTGGGTGAAAAGCCCCTGTCAATAGCTATTGCTTTTAAATAATTTAGTTCTTCATCAAGGGCTAGTTTGGAGGAGCAAACTTGAAGAGCACGGAAAGCATAGGAATAAAATGAAGCTAACTTTTGTTTAGTCGGATGACATGATTTAAAGTGTGGTGGAAGGCAAACCGATGAAGGTTTACGGTAAACCGTAGTACTGAAGTTGGATGTGTTACGTGTGACCAGAATGTCGAGAAACGGAAGAGAATTGCACGTCTCAAGTTCAAAAGTGAACTGAATAGCAGGATCAATAGAATTCATTGTTGAAAGAACTTTATTTAAATCATCTTTATTATCTTCAAAAAGGGTAAAAGTATCGTCTACTCCTTAGAGATTCTTTGGTTGTGACGTCGGCTTACGCATGAAACGACGATCACGTGACCTCCCTACGCGTTCGGGGCAAAGAATATGTATTGTTAGACATTCTTTGTTCGGGGATTTAGCGCTGACCTATGCACCACTACACCTTCGACCTGACGTGATAGAAGCGTCTCCGGAATTTTCGACTAGTTTTTTTTTTTTTTTTTTTTTTTTTTTTTTTTTTTTTTTTTTGACTTTATTAACGACAAAAACCTTCTCTTTTATGATGCATGAACATTTTATCTTTATTTCAGTACCAAATTTATTGTCCTACGATGACTTAAACAAAAATTACCGACAAATTTCGATTTCTTGGTGCATATTCCTTAGACGCCATTATTACAACATGGAATTCAACAGCTTCAAAAATGCAAAATTATTCTTCTTCAGGCAATTCCCGTCAGTGGTACGTACAGTTTCAGTTTTTTCGATTTTTCAATATCAAATCTTTATTTTACAAAAATGTCGTACGCCAGAAAATTGTGCGACTTTAAATTCTGCGCATTTCTATACCAAAAGCATATTTATATGTGAATTAGATCAAAAGTTATCATTAAAAAGTATATGCAAATTGCATAGGCTGCTCCTTTACGAAAGACAAACTAAATGCAGATTCTGCCAAATTGGGAAATAATAGGTAGCAGTGCTAGGAATGCATTTTTTTCTACATAATCAACCATTCAACTTACTTTCTTTGTTTTCAGCATTCATCTGTACTACCTATATTTCTGAACTTGATTTAGTATTAAACTATTATTTTAATTCTCAAGTATGCGTGCATGGAATTAGTTTCATTAGTTAAAAAGATTATTAGGAAGTAAGATACTTGCAATGGTATATTGCTAAAAATATATAAGCATGCAGGAAAAGAATTGTTTTAAAGGACATAAATTATATCTTAATAGACAAATAAACAAACCAATCAATAATATAATTTGCTATTTCAGAATTTTCAGCAACAATACATTTTCTTATCTTTCTTTTTAATTTTTCAAAGCTACAAAACAGAAAATAAATCCATGACTGTTTGAAAATTTAAATACTCAATAAATAAAAGTGTGGAGAACAAAATATGATTTTAATAATGAATATTTATAAGGAATAATATTTAACATTTATAAGAACTGTTCAAATAAACTATCGCTAACAGCAACACATGCATCGCAACCACATGAGGTAACTGGCATATACTTTGAAAGATTCCCGGCATGTACTTCTACAGCAATGGTGCCAAGGTCGGACTACGGTTACAAAAATTTACAGTTAACTATCACAAATTCTGCAAAAACGTGCTTTGTGGTAAATAAAAAACTTCTTCAAATTTTGTACATGCCAAACAGTATATCTCCTTTTGTGATCTAGTTTTGGCTAGCCTGTATCAAATAATATAACAAAACAGTTTGCATCATACAGGCAATCAGTCTCTTCAAAATTTGTTGCACTATGCATGAACTATCTTCTCTGTAAATACTTCTGTTTGATAGTTCATAACGTAGAGTAAACTTGGAAAGATTTGTTATGTACTGCTAAGCAACTTTTGCTGTATTTAATATTACTATTACATTAGTGTTTATAGAGTATAAACTCTGAAGGGAAATACGATACCTCGTGTTTTAAAGAAATTATTCTGTACTTTGCTATTCACGCGGTTTAATCCTAGTATCCGGTGCACACGGGATTTGGCTACTTTTGGCGACTTTATGATGAGCAGTAAAAACCGGACATTGCGATGAGTAGTTAACGGGTCATTCAAAGAAAATATATAGTTAAACATAGTGTATACTATGTATATAATATATATGCTATGTATATACACACATAGTATATAGTGTATAGTATATATATATAGAGACGTTCTTTGGATCATTTTTGGTGTTGGCGATAATTTTCAAAGTCGCGCCAAGGCTGCACCGTATACTAGGATTTTACCATTAACGCAATTGGTACAGTCTATAAACAAGCTATTCTTTTTTCTAAAATTACAATTTTAAGATTTTAAATTATTGAATACAGTTCTGTTTGGATCATAATTATACTTACAAATTAACACTGTATTATTTAGATTATAACAAAGGACTGAACAGCTATTTGCCTAAGAGGAAGAATGCCTTTGTGGAATACTTTTTATAAGATAAATTCCTCGCTTCCAAACTCTCATACAATCAATCCATTTACTGGGATTTGAAACTGGGTTGAACTAACAACACTCCTCAGTTTTACCAATTGCTTATTGTGAACCATTTCCATTGCAGGAAAATATTGCTAATACACATTAAATATGGATCCCACCAGTCACTGAGAAGTTATGACCACTGAACACTGGTAGTTCAACCTAGGTTTGAACACATTCAAATGATCTAGCTGCATGGTTGTTTTTCTCCATGTGTAACATGAATATGAGCTAGTTTCGCTTAGAAAGTTCTCCACAAAGGTATCCCTGTCCTTAGGCATGTAGCCC